GATCCCAATTCTGAGGTCGTTTACTCAAAATTCTAATCCTAGTTCATTTCTTCAATTTTAAGCTTTCAAAATGAGAATTTCCATTTAGATTTGACTCCAAACTTCCTGAATTTTAATTCTGACCATACACACAAGTCAATATACCTGAGATGAAGCTGCTCATGACCTCAAACTGCTGAATGACGCGTCGGAGCTCAAAACAACCGATCGGGTCGTTACACCTGTATAATGGATTTTTTTTTTGTGATTGCTCCTTTGTGTTCTGAAAAATTGGGAGTGGCGGTACTTGCTGTCTCCAAATGTGCAGACTCTTTAGTTGTGTCTGTGGAGTTATGCCACATGTTATCTGCTTATCCTTGTTTTACTCCTCTTGATGGAATGGCTATGGAGAACTAATTAAGTAATGGCATTTTTAAAATTTTGCAACTTAAAATTTATGAGTTTTGTACTTCAGTTGTATGCACGCAGTACAGTGTGATAGACTTGAAAATGTCTCAACTATGTTTTACTGTTTTTCCTTTATAAAATACCAGACGTGTAGGGGTGTATCTATGGAGATTCCTGGTTTCACTTGAACTCATGCACCCCTCCATAGATAAATATATGTGTGAGCGCTCAAGCTCAAAATGTCATATGATTCAATAGTTCCACGTGTGCAAAGTCGGATCCAACATTTCGAGAAGGATGGATGCACTATTACAAGGATATATATTTGACGGATTCAACCTTTAGGTTCTTACTGCTTGACCTGTTACGCTTTTATACATATTTCTCTATACTTCATGTCGAAAACGTTGTCAGTTAAACCGACTGACAATATACTACATCCTCAACTATTACTAATTTTAATATACATTTAATTTAATTACATAAAATTTTACGATGACAAAGGGAAAATAGATTCTAATGTGTTATACTTAGAAATTAGAAAAATTAAACCAAAGAAAGAAAGTAAGAACAAGAAAAAGGTAGTACTTAATAAAAGCTCAAGGAAGGGCATCGGATATGCCCATCTCGCCCACCAATTTTAGAAAAAGAAAGGAAAAAATAATAAGATAGGCATAAGATTTAAACTTTATGGCTCAGCCTTAAGATTCTTAAGACTGAACCATTATATTTACAAAGTTATGCGTCCTTATCTTGTATTACTTATTGCATTTATAATGAACAAATAAATTTATGTACCACGTACAACTATTGGATTTAAATACACTTGGTATCTTAATGCTGCATTCGCCCCTGCAAGATATACTAGTGTTTTATGTTGACGTAGTCTTTGCCTTCTGTGCAACGGTAACTTGGTTTACGCGTTAGGTTATTAAATAAAAAGTACTTACATTGCTTGTGCCCAAAAGAAATGAATTACCACATAATGTCGTAGAACAATTAGTCCAATATCAATATTATGTTCCGCAGATAAGGAGAGAGAAAAAAATGTATAAACATAAAAGAGACAGAATGTACCTTACTATATTGCTGTGTATCTGTAAAGAAGCAAGAATGTAGCAAATTAATATTTGCTGTATCCGGGAGAAGGGGTAGAGTCATGAGTCTTTTCAAGACATATATAGTTCAAACTTTCTGCCTTAATTAAGTCCCAATATATAGCAGCTTCCATGTGGCAATTTCTTCTAATCCATATGCTAATTAAGAGCCATTGCCTTCTTTATATGGTAATTACTGGTTGTCTGATCATCATTATCTTGTGAGTTAAGCCCCTTAGGATGGTCATTGGTCTTGGTAGTTAAGAGTTGGCGCGAGCGGATTTGGAAGAACATGTTGTGAATTAGTACTTGAGTTTAAAAAATGGAAGTGGTTGAGCTGTGAATTAGTGGTACTCATAAATGGAGCTGGAACAAGAGATGACAATGTTGTAGCAGTTGGACAGAAATATAAATTATGAGAGCCTGAAGGAAAAGACATTGATATAGGATTGTCTTCTGTTTGTGATGAAAAGGTATGGTTATTATTTCCAAATGGAGCTAAAGACAAATTTGAATTAGGTATTTCCCAATTACGGTAGTTATTATTGAAGGGTATATTGCTGTTTAACATACCTGCAGGTAAAGAAGAAATATTTTGAGATGAAAATAGTGGAACATAACCTCCAATATTAGTACCATCCTTATTTTCTTGCTCATTTGAGGCAATCCATTTGTCTTTTCCAAATGCTGTAGTAGCATCAAAATGGTTAGATTCCTTGAGAGACAACAATTCTTGATTTGGTCCATCTCTCATATATGTATTATTTGTATTATTGAAGAAGTGAGAAAGAGATGGTGGCGGCATTTGTAAAGGTGGGAGTTTATCAATTTCATGTTTAGTAGCATCAAGTAACCAGTCTATAACTTTGCTAGGTTGGCTGAGTCCAAGTCTATCTTGAAGATCATACAATTGAATTGCAGTAGGCACTGAAAGTCTTATTCTTCTGTCTCTTAATCCCCTTACAGTGCAAACTTTACTATGCCTATCTTTCCCGCCAAATGAACGCGAAACGCGTACAATTCTTGGATTTTTAAAGCCTGCCCATGACTGCCTTGAACTTGATGATGGAGTCCTTGAGATTTTACTCTTGTTGGTGTCATGATCATGACCAGCTGCTTCTTGCTTATTAGCCTGAGAATTGTTTCTACTTGGATTCATGATCAACTTGGTTTTCGCATTACTGATGATCTACAGAAAATCAACAAAATAGAAGATGAAGAAACTAATTAAAGTAGGCTCAATTAGGAAATTGAGAAAACTAAATGAGGAACCCTTGATTGCTATGATTCTTTAACATATATTGCAAGTTATGCTTCAACAAAAATGTAGCAAAAGAGGTAATTAATCAACAGAAATTAGGTAGGACTTGGTGTTTATGCAACTTGAATTTTCCATCCATAAAATTGAACCTCAGTAGATAATTAGGGAAAACAAAATCTTGGTTTGATCACTTACCAATATATATTTGGAGAAAAAAAGATTCTTCCCTGAGATGTACAATGGTTATTACCACCAGTGTTTTGCATAAGCATTCTGAATTGGATAAAGATCACAGGTTGAACTCAGATCAAATTTTGCAGCTCAGATGGATCTCCTCTCAACAGTTCCGAAGCAGCAAGACGAGTGAATAAAGGTTACGTAAGTAGTAGCGAATACTTTTTTTAACTTAGACAAATACCTCCGGCGGAAATGTTCCCTTGTCACTATAGATTGAACTTGCTGTGAACTTTTTCGATTATTAGTATTGGATCAAGGAGTAGTCCTCCTTTTCAAAAAAATCAACTTGTCTCCTTAATTTCCTCTTGTTCCTCCTGCCTTGTATCAAGATGAGTGAATAAAGAAATTTTGATGAGAAACCTAACTCATGTGCAAAGAATAAACATATAAGATAAAGTTTTGGAAAAGGAGAAATGTAAATATAGAATCTTACCATGCCATAAGCCAAGGGAAGGAAAAGAAAAAGGTATGGCGAATTCGTAGCCACGTGTTATCGATACAAACTGTCACGTAGAACATAGATTTGATAGGCTTAATAAGGATTTAAACAAGTTTAGACTACATAATGAACAATTTTTGTATAATGAGGTAGTTAATTTGCTGGTTAATTACTGTTAATTATGATGCTACATAAGTAAAATAGGCTGTTAACTTCATAAGGACCACCCTAGAGTTGGAAAAAGAAAAAAGGAGTTATTGCTTTTCTCTTCCTTTTTTTTCCAACTAGCTAGTGAAAAGTTAGTATCTAATCAACTAGGTTTTTATTGCATATCTGTCCTCTTTAAAGGAATTAAAATCTGTTTCTCTATTTGTTGTAGTAATTCCACTAATAATTGAGACAAATGGCATGAATAGTTACACCATGATGAAGAGATACTAAAACAATAAATAATTTAATGTCACAAAGAAAAACCGACGAGTTCAACTTATATACATATATAGTTCAAAGAATTTACACTTTCAACCGTTATAAAATAATATCTTATTTTAAGATTACAAATTTCATTAGCTTTATAATTTAGTATCAAAAAGAAAAATCAACGAGTTTAACTTATATACACCGACAGTTCAAAGAATGCATATATTTTTTCCATCTGTTGTAAAATAATGTCTTATTTCAAGATTACAAATTTCACTAGCTTTTTTATAAAGGGTTACCTATAAATATCTTTTGTATGATTTAAGATTGTAAACAATTCTTTATATTATTTTAGGTCAAACTCAAAACTAATTAGATAAAACTGTAGCAAGTGGGAAGCCAAATTAAGTTTGTGGTGCATGTTGTAGTTCATTAGGTGGATGAGATAATTGATAGTAAAACAGCTACACTTATAGAGGAGGGACCAGCCATACAAGTTCGTAAAAGCTTTTCCACTTAGTACATACAGAGAGGACCACACGTATTTTGTAGTGAGATAGCATGCAGCAATATAATTTGGAGTCTACTAACTTAAACCAACGTATATGTATTTAATTATCAGCCTTTGTACTCTTTTTTGCATCTAGCACACTTAAATTTGTAGTAGTATTTTATTTTGTGGTAGAAAGAATATAACTCCACAAATAGGGAAGCTAAGTTTCCAAGTTCCAACCACAGCAGCAGTCTTCTTCAAAATCAAGACTGATCTCTTGCATGAGTGAATGGAGAAAGAAAAGTTGACTACAATAACAGATAACCTTCATAGTCAGTGGCGAAGCTAGGAATTTTCCTAAGGATATTCAAATTTGAAAGAAGTGAATAAAATTTCTGACGACAAAGGGTGTTCAATATGTATTATATACCTCTAAAACATAATATTTTATCTATATACACAGTGTAATTTTTCGACAAAGGGTGATCAATTGACCACCCTTATGGACCATGTGGCTTCGCCCCTGTTCATAGTAAACCTGATATACTAGTCTGGAAAATAAAGTACATAACCTATAATAAAATACAAATATTCTTTATACTGTCAATGTATATAACTAAATCCGTTAAGAAAAGATTTTCGGGGAGTTGGAGCCTGCTGGAAGAGTACTGTAGCTGGCTGAAACTATAGCGGTAAAAAAGTTGATCCGTACTGAATCAGCAGCATAGCCACATAAAGTGAAGGTGTCAATTGAACACCCTTCATTGCAATATTATATTGTGTATACAAAAAATTATATACTAAATATATAGGTTAAAATTACGTTTCATACATGTATATTAAATCTTGAACACTCTTAGCAAAATTACTGACTTCGCCACTATACCTAATTGGTTCTTGTGTAGAGGTGAGCAGCTAAACCACCTAACATTTAGAACCCTCATTGGGTTCAACAAAACTATGTTCTTCCTTGAATCAGGTTCTGTAAACTACTCTGAATTCAAACCTGTTAAGTTAGTTAATTTTGAAGACAATCTTCAGAGAGTATTTTGGATTTTTGAAAATGTTTATACATGCTCTTGATAAAGGAGGAGAATTGTGGTAGGTTGACAATTACAAAAATAAAATTAATGGATTTATGATGATATCCTTACATATACTAGGACAAAGACGGACTTAAATGCAACGACACGAACAATGAAGATTCATACAGCCGATCCAACTGAGTTGAAATTGAGATATAGATTGTTGCATGTTCTTGCTGAAATTGATTATGCTTATGTATAGAAAAGAAGGCAGGGAAATAAATGGTGGGTTTAGAAAATAAAGTTCAAACTGTCGCCATATGTGAGTCGAAGATAGAGATATTACTCACATAATAACAAATAAGCAAAATCATAAATGGACCCGGAAATCCCAGACAGTCTGTTTTCCTACGGGCCAACAGAACAGATAATTGACTGTGTTTAACTGCACCTCTAACAGAACCATGCATTATTATCTTTTATAAACATATATGTGCAAATTTATCTGTAATTAACTCTTTTTTATGATGGTCGTGTTCAGGTCAATTTATGAGCCACCTCAACTAATTCTTAGTGTTTTTGCCTCCGCTGTGATTTGCACTTGAGACTTTATGGTTCTCCCAATTTAATTGACCGCGCCGCTTAGCCACATCCTTGGATGCTATCTGCAATTAACTTGTAAATGACTTAATTATACAAGTACATTATTATTACACCCATCTGTGTATATACATAGATGATAGAACATAGACTCATAGAAAAATCTATCAGTTATCCATTACTTACACCTTTTACTCTTAAACGGGTACTTCAGTTAATGATTCTGCACGTCCTTTTCTTATTTATAACCCCATAACAGTGACAAGTCAAGGACTTTAATATAACCAGCCCTAGCCTCTCTAAAATTTTCTGGAAAAATGAAAATATATCCACATGATGGGCATCCGCAAAATCCAAGGAGTTGATTGGTTAGATGGTCACTCAACATGGATTAATTGGCCATCAAAGTCATCTATCCTTCTTTTTGTCTTACATGTGTCCTTCGATAATTTTGATCGAATTTTATATTTTTCATCAGATTTAAGGGGTAAAAGTTGAAAAATGCCAAAAAAAGACAGTCGTTGCACAAATATCTTGTATTTACGCAGGATCTATAAAACGGTCGCACCCCAAGGAGTGTAAGGTAGACAACCTACCTTAATGCAAGCATTAATGACAGTTTCTACCGCTCGAACCCGTAACCTTAAAATTTTGGAATTCTACTGTAGTATGCATGTTGTGTCACTATCGGTTGAGACAGTTATTTCTCATAGGTATGCTCCATTCCAAACAAGAATTGGCAGACGTGACGAAGTCAATGATAACTGCTACTGCGTGCTCCCAATAATGCTTTTTCAGAACAAAAAAGTAAACTGTCTGTCCCTCCTAAATTTCTCTAATCCACGCCCACCAGCCAACTTCTTCTTTTTTATTTATTTTATTTTATTTTAATTTTACTGAATAAATAAGAATAGCAAACGTTGAGCTAAAGAAAATAAAATGAACAAGATACTAGTAAAGAAATTCTAACTAGATGCCCGCAGTTTGGAGGTTATTGAATTCAAACTCATGATATATGATTCAAATTGTGGTGTTTTGGCTAATGAAATGTGGGGTAATTGATGATAAAATAGCACGGCCTAGCCAGTTTTCGGACTGGTAATTCAAAAATAGTCAGTGTTTGTCAAGTCATTGAAAAATAGCCACTATTTTGCTGCAACAGAGACCGGTCCAGCATAATATACTGGAGGTCGGTGCACATGTATATGAACTTCCAGCATATTATGCTAGACCGGTATACTTTGCTGGCTCCAATATAATATACTGGAGACCGAAGCACTGGTGCTCCAAACTCCAGTATACTATGCTGGACCGGTATATTATACTGGAACTCCAGTATATTATGTTTGGGTATTTTTCCGGATTTTGAACAGTGTTTTCGTTCAGATTTATCTTTACATAAAAAGTGGCTAAATTTCGATTACCTTTGAAACTGTGGCTATTTCTAAATGACCACTTGTAAATCTGGCTATTTTTTAATTTCTCCCCTAATTGATTGGCAAATTACTCAATTATAGTTCAAAAGAGAATCAAAGACTAAAAATGGGGCGAAGTGCAGCAATAGCCACTATTAAGCTCGCTATTTAAAATATATCCACAATTTATAATGTATTTAAAGATTAGCCAATTCACAAATTTCAGGACTAAGTATCATGAATTTGGACATAGATTCTCAAATTTGTTTTGAAAAATCTGATTTGGGTGAAGTTTGGTTTGAAAATGAAAATATGTTTGGACATACGTTTTCAAAACATATTTCCCAAATTTATTTTAGAAAAATATGTATATTATTAGGGATTTGGCCCAAAACCAGCTATTGATCTAGTTTTGGGATTTTGCCAAAATATAGGCAAAATCTATGGCCAAACATGTGTTTGCCAAATAAAACCGAAGTTTATTTTGGCAAAATCTATGGCCAAACGGGTCCTTAGTATCCTGAATTTTTGAGGTGCTTAACTTCTGAACTACTAATTTAAAATTCAGGACATAAGATTCGAGCTTCAGGACACGATGTCCTGACGTTTGAATTTTGAGGTTTAAACTCTAGGAAGTTTAAGCAACATTGACTAATTTTTAAATATATTGTAAACTTTGAATATAATTTAAACAACATACTTAAAAATAGCTACCTAATATCATTTCCATCAGAGATGTCAAAACGGGCTAGTCCAGCCCAACCCAGCCCAAGCATCGTGGGCTTTTAAATTTGGTGGGCTAGGGCGGGGCGGCCCTCCATATATACGGGCCTTAAAATGGCCAGCGTAGCCCAGCCCTAAGAGGGTCGCGGACTAGGGTGGACCAGCCCTTCAATTTTTATAGAAAAAAATATTTTTTCAAATCTTTAGATATTTTTTTGTGGCATAATCTCTTAATCATATGAACGAATTATGTTTATTTAGAGTG